GTGCACAAGTACTATAATTAATTTAGCTAAAGATTCATGTTTTCATGTTACTAAATGCGGATATTAAAAAACTTTGGTTCAACTCTGATAAAAAAAAAAGATGGTCAGAGACCATTTTTTTTCATCGCGATAATGAACTCACTTGATCTGTTAACCATTTTCCGCTAATTAAAAATCGAGTCCCGACCTATTAATTTAATTTAAATGCTTGAGCACCCTCAGATGATCTAATTTCTGATTTCGAAGAAAATTATTGACGCATAGAAATAAGTGATAATATAAAAATTTATATAATGATAACAAATTAGAAAAAGATGACAATACTGTATATTCACATAGCATTGATATAATTATATAATGTTATTAAAGATTTGAGTAATAAAAGCGGATCATACTTAGTCAAGTACTATATTAATACAAAGGGAGATTAGTTTTTTTTTCCGCAAGCAATAAAATAACAAAATACAAATCTTTATAATAACCTACAATATATTGTGAAATTCAAGTATAGTTAAACCTCTAAAATCACACTTTTGGGATGCAAAAAAGATGTGATTATAGAGAAGTGTGACAATCAAATTTATTATATTCAATAAGAGTTTGTTTTTAAAATATAGTATAAAGAAAATGACTATAAAGAAGTTGGACTGTAGGTAGCCAACCATTAATTTTAAAATTTTAATCAGAAAAAAATTTTTAATAAGAGTTCAAGAGTTTCTACAGCAAAAGAGTTTACTAAACGGGCATGTATAAATGAAATAAATTCGTCCAAATGTAAATATTAATTTCCGGAGCAGAGCGGAGGAACATAAATCCAGACAATAGTCAGGAAGGACATAAAAAATTCCAAATTGCCGATATCATTCAATCAATCAAAAATTCTATTAATCGAAAAAAAGTCCATTTTATATGTATTATATGTATTCAGTGTTATCAGAATAAGAGTATTTACTATCCCTGTCAATCATTATCGTGCCCGTCGGAAAATTTCTACCCGAGTATTAATAATTACCCGGTTAACCGGGTAATTTCATTATATACCTGATTAGAGATGGTGATCGATCAAAATTTTCATGTGATCGATCACGAATGATCGATCATGCTCGGTCTTTTTTTTTATATCTTTAGAATAGAATGGTGTTCTGAATTAAATTTAATGATTAATGCATTTAATTTTTCTCACGATAGAACGTATTGACAAAAAATTTAATGAACAATAAGATTGATTATCATAATTAGTTATTGTGTGATCGATCATTCTAATCATGATTTACTGTCACATGGTAATATATAACATCGTTGTTTAAATTTAACTTCTTCGCTCATAACTTAACATCGTTTTCTGTAAACAAAGTTGGTTTCTTCAATAACACGATGGTATTGTCAGTATAGCGCCTTTTCCCAAGTTGTAAAAAAAGAAATCACATCAGCAAATTGTAATTTGATATTAGTCATAGGCAATAACATTGTTCCAAATAAAGCAGCGTTCCGGAACCCAACGGATACCTTTTTCTTAGTTTAGTAAAGAAATCTTTAAAGTTTTTTTTTTCTAACATGTATAATTTAATATATAATTTATAAAGGCTGCAAAGCATATGGCTAGTCTGATCATATGAGTTTCGAGCAAGAAATGTCCAAACTATAAACTAATTAGAATCTAAGGGTGTTCTCAAGCAACACGCTCGATGTGATTAGCTAGTGATTGAGATAGTGTTCAACCATTGTGGCGTTATTAATTAGACCATTTTTGAAAACCGATAGTATAGATGATATTGATGCTCACATATCTTCCTCAACGTGTTGATGCTCAAGTATTATGATTAATTAAAATATCATTGCTTGAGCAAACATCTTTATCATTATTATCATTTAGCGATTATTGTTTTTAAAATCGAAATAATAATAATAATGAGAACGATGGGTCAACGAAAGGATAAAACAATCTACGACACTTCCAAATTCTGTTTCTTCTTTTTCAGGATTTGCTACAAACCAACAGAACATAAAAAAGTGCCATTTTTTACTGCGTTTAGCTAAGTAATGAGGTAATAATGATTTTTGATCCATAACGATGAAAGAGTGAAACAATTATTTTTTTTAATCATTCAATGAAAAATTTCGACCAATAAGCGCAACTCTATGATAAAAAAGGACGTTTGGGCCTCTATCTCTTGTTGATTGGAATGATAAATACCCTTGATCGGTTAAACAAACTTCCGCTAATAAAATTTCTTTCTGACATATTAAAATTTCATCACGTGTTTTATTCATTGGAATAATCAATTAAATTGATTCGTTAAACTATTTTTTACTAATAAAAATCCACCCTCAGACCCGCTCCGACAAATCGATTAAGGTTAGCGTTAAGCGAAAATCGTCTAGCATTACCAGAAAGTACAGCAACCATCTAATCAAATTCTTTAATTTTTTTTATTTGAATTTTATGTATCTATAGAATTCAAATAAAAAGAAGTTCATCGAATTTGATTAGTTGATTGCTGAGATATCATCGCTTAAAGTTTTTTTTTTTAAAAAAAAATTGTTTAGAAACTGCGCCAAATTTTTCCTAAAACTTTGAGCAGATATATTTCAGCAACCACCTAATCAAATCCGATGAATTTTTTTTTATTTGAATTATATATTCATAGAATTCAAATAAAAAAAATTTCATCGAATTTGATCAGGCGGTAGCTAAAATATCATCAAAGTTTTTGAAGCTGCGCCAAATTTTCCTAAACGTTTGAACGAAGATATTTCAGCAACTGTCTGATCAAATTCGATCAAAAGTTTTTTATATGAATTCTATGGATTTATAGAACTCATAAAAAAAAAAAATTCATCAAATTTGATCAGATGGTTGCTGAGATATCTTCGCTTAAAGTTTTAAGAAAAAACTTATATTTTGATATTATGATGAAATTCATGGTATTCACTCTGATTTTAGTTTTAAGTGATTACTGCGTAATAACAAGACTTTTAGAGAACGTATTAATTTTTACTTTGTAAAAATTTAGCTCAAATAAACAAGAACTTGTGGAGTTACTAAATTTTTCGCTCTTGTATTAAGGTGAATTTGAATTTTTTTTTAAAAAAAAAAAACTTTGAGCGAAGATTTCTTAGCAGCAACCTGATCAATTTCGATGATTTTTTTTTTGAATTCCATGGATCAATAGAATTTAAATAATGAAATATCTTCGCTCAAACTTTTAGGAAAAATTTGGCGCAGCTTCTATTTTTGATGTTTAAAAACTTTGAAGATATTTCAGCAACCGCCTGATCAAATCCGATGAAAATTTTTTTATTTGAATTCGATGCATTTATAGAATTCAAATAAAAAAAGAAAGAAATTCATGAATTTGATTAGGTGGTTGCTGAAATATATCTGCTCAAAGTTTTAGGAAAATTTGGCGCAGCTTCTATTAAAGATAAACATTTTTTTAAAAAAAAACTTTAAGCGATGATATCTCAGCAACCAACTGATCAAATTCGATGAACTTTTTTTTATTTGAATTTTATAGATTTATAAAATTCAAATTAAAAAAATTCATAGAATTTGATTAGATGGTAGCTGAGAAATCGCGTACAATCGTGTACAGTCGATTGCAATCGAACAATCGAGTGTGTAGCGATCTATTTTCAACAAAGATTTCTCAACAACTATCGATTCAAATTCAATTAAAATTTTTTGTAAATTTATAGAATTAAAATAAAATAAAAATTATCAAAATTGAATGGGTAATTGTTGAGGTATTTCACTAAATGTTTTAGAAAAAAATTAGCTGCAGCTTTTTTTCTATAGGCGCCTAAACTTTGAACGAAGATTACTCGGTATTTACCTGATCAAATTCGGTCAAAATTTTTTATTTTAATTTTATAAGTTTGTAAAAATAGAATAAAAAACTTTGATCGAATTTAATCAGATGAGTGCCAGTAATCTTCGTTAAAATTTTAGGCACCTATAAAAAAAAGGCTGCAGCTAATTTTTTCTAAAGCTTTTAGTGAAAATTTTTCAATAGCCACCTAACAAATTTCGATAATTTTTTTATTTTAATTCTATAAACTCACAGAATTAATAAAATAATTTTCATCGAATTTGACATTTAAAGTAAAAAAAAAGAAAATTTACCCCGATTTAATTTTTTCCAGGATATTTAACCATTTTTTAAAATTTTAGTGATGATTTCTCAACAACCATCTATTCAAATTCAATGAAATTTTTTTTATTTTAATTCTACGAATATATCGAATAAAATAATTTTTTTTTTACTGTGTTAATCAAGTAGTTACTGAGAAACCTTCGCTAGAATCTTAAAAAAAATTCAAAATCATAAAAGGATCTTAAATATTTTGATCATTTTGATTGGCAGTTTACATCACGCGATCCGAACTGATTAAAAATTGTGCATGTGATTGGTAAATATCATACTTCTATAAAAAAAAAAGTAATATAATCCTGATTGGTTATGGCGCACTACCACTATTAGTATTATTAGGTGGCCTTTGTTTCAAGACTGGTGGGTCGCCTACGGGCACTGGCTAAAAGCGATGGGCTTATAGAGAAACTGGACGTCAGGACAGCAGGCTCGTTGGTCGTTTCGGAATAGTACAGTACTACAGTACTCGTTCGAACGATTGGACGCACTTGACATAAAGCCGAAACCCGCCGGCACAACTTCAGATTACTCTTTTTATAATCCATTCAAGTTAATTCAAATAAAAAAAAGTTCATCGAATTTTATCAGTTGCTGAGATATCATCGCTCAAAGTTTTTTTTAAAAAAATTTATCTTTAACAGAATCTGCGCCAAATTTTTCCTAAAACTTTGAGCAGATATATTTCAGCAACCACCTAATTAAATTCGATGGATTTTTTTTTTTATTTGAATTTTATAAAATCATAGAATTCAAATAAAAAATTTTCATCGAGTTTGATCAGGCGGTTGTTTTTAAACATCAAAAAATAGAAGCTGCGCCAAATTTTTCTTAAAACTTTGAGCGAAGATATTTCGGTAACTATCAGATCAAATTCGATGAAAAGTTTTTTATTTAAATTCTATTGCTCCATAGAATTCAAAAAAAAAAAACATCGAATTGGTCAGGCTGCTGTTGAGAAATCTTCGCTCAAAGTTTTTTTTTTTAAAAAAAAAAAATCAAATTCGCCTTAATACAAGAGCGAAAAATTTAGTACCTCCACAAGTTCTTGTTTATTTGAGCTAAATTTTTACAAAGTAAAATTTTAATACATTTTCTAAAAGTCTTGTTATTGCGCAGTAATTACTTTATACTGAACTTTCAAAATCAGTGTGAAATTTCGTCATAATATTAAAATATAAGTTTTTCTTAAAACTTTAAACGATGATATCTCGGCAACCATCTGATCAAATTCGATGAATATTTTTTTATTTGAATTCTATAGATCCATAGAATTCAAATAAAAACTTTTTATCAAATTTGATCAGGTAGTTGCTGAAATATTTTCGCTCAAAGTTTTAGGAAATTTTGGCGCAGCTTCTATTTTGATGTTTTAATATTTTTAAAACCTTTGAGCGAAGATATTTCAGCAACCACCTGATCAAATTCGATAAAAATTTTTTTTTATTTTAATTCCATGCATTTATAGAATTTAAATATAAAAAAAAATTCGTTGAATTTGATTAGGTGGTTGCTAAAATATATCTGCTCAAAGTTTTAGGAAAACTTTGGCGCAGCTTCTATTAAAGATAAATTTTTTTAAAAAAAAAAACATTGAGCGATGTTATCTCAGCAACCAACTGATCAAATTCGATGAACTTTTTTTTATTTGAATTCTATAGATTCATAAAATTCAAATAAAAAAAATTCATAGAATTTGATTAGATGGTTGCTGAGGAATCGCATACTCATATACAATCGATTGCAATCGATGTACAGCAATCTACAAATTTTATCAAAAGTCACATCAATTTGCAAACAGTGATAATTTATCGTAGCAATTGAGCCTCATTACAATTATTAGTAAATCACATGAGAGTATACCTCAATACTATTCGTGCTATTTATTTTTATCTAAAATGTCGAGAATAACTAAAATTACATCATAATACTTGTGCACTATTGCTAGAAAATCGCACTTAAGATATTTGAGAACGCCCTAAATTTTTACAATTTAAATATATAGTAAATTATATATGTATATACAGTATCAAACTTAATCTTTCGATTGAAATGTTTTAACTCAAATATTCTTGTTTATCCGGAAACCTCTCACGAATTGATACAATAGATTAATAGAGTCACATAAATGAATTCTGTGGATTCGGAATCCACTTTGAACTAGATGAGTGGATTTTGAATCTTAAAATAACTTAGTTTGGAATGAAATGCTTAAGTATAGGAATGAAATAAATTTTAAAGAAATTTGATAATAAAAATATACAAAAGTTTGAAAATATTGCAATATTAACTAATGTCTATTTTCTATGGTTTTTTCGAAGAATTTCAAAATTAAGACTAGTATATGACATATTACATTAATGTTAGCTATAGTAAAGGTAGAATGTATTCTTGTAGTTTTTCGTACACTAATAATTTGACAAACTTCAAGCGCTTCATATTTAGTCGATTCCAGTGGTTTAATTTCATTCACGTCGTAAGTCATTTAGGTATGCTTTGTTTGGAAATTCCTCGATTACTTTGCAAGGTAAACAGATATTTTCGTTAGGAAATTTCAATAATAAATCTAGGGAGTACTGTACTTCAGAGTAATTTAGGAATATAAATCACTTCATGTCGGTGTGATTTGTATACTACACCACTCCAGATTGCTATAGGAGTCAAATAGAGTGGTTTACACTCCAGAGCTACTACTAATACTACTCCAAATTTAAAAGTATAAATAATTTAACAATTGTTGTATTTTAAAAAATTTATTAAGACAATCATCATTATAGCAAATAAATTGTTCTAGATATAAAATTCCAAACTATAATCCGGAATAACTCCATTAATACCCCCGATCACTATTCAAGATCACGGGAGTATTATTATTACTAATAGCCTTAAATAAGTCCATAGTTGTTTAACGTGATAGAGATTTAACGTCTAATAAATGCTTCTTAAATCATTAAAATTTTTGTTTTTAATGAAGAAATATTACTCTTGGGTTGACATTTTTGAGTTAGGAACTTTTGCAAAATGTATTTAAGTTGACAAATTCACTAAGATTCTGAATTCAGTTCAATTACACTGTTATTCATTAGGAAATTTTGAGAACATGTGACTTAACAATTGAATTAAGCAAAAAATCTAAAATAATTAAGATTATTAGGGTGAGTACAATACTAGGTTGGAATAGGTACAGTAGTATAGTTATTGGATGCGAAGCAGCCAATAATATACAATATTGGGCAAACGATGAAAATTTCCTTGGAATCGTCTAAAACCAGGTAGTAATTTAATTAAAAACTACCTTGCTTTAGACAACCTCCTTGTTGTATGCCCAATACTGATGTTATCTGGCAGTTCTATATGACCATGTGATGTGTCATGCAAAAAATATAAAATTCGGCGCCAAAATTGAAATTTGATTGGATGTAAGCAGTGTTGGCTTACTGACGCGCGTCACGTAAAAATTATGATAAATTAATTCTTTAACATGAACCCCCCCCCTCTTTTTAACAGTATATTAACAATCAAATTACAATATTAGCTTTTTGTATTTTTACAGTCAATAGAGTTATCGTATTTTTTTATTGTTTTATCCTTCACCTTTTTGTGAGCTATCGCTATCGCCATTTTATGTTATATTAGACAGAAAATTGTAAGCACTTATTTTATTATTAATGTTTTAAGTCTTATTTAATATAGACAAATTCTATTTTGACCCGGGTCAAAATGACCCATCACATGATCATATACCTAAGAATTTTCAAAACTTTGAGCGAAAATATCTCGATAACATCAAATCAAATTCGATAAATCTAAATCCTATCGATTCATAGAATTCGAATAAAAAAAATTTCATCGAATTTACTCAAGTGGTTGTCGAGATATCTTTGCTCAAAGTCAGAGAAAATTTTCTTCTATTTTGATAGGCGTTTTGACTTTTCTCTAACTTTGAGCAAAGATATCTCGACAGCCACCTAACTAAATTCAGTGAAAATTTTTTATTCAAATTCAATATACCCATAAAATTCGAATACAAAATTTTAACGAATTGGTTTGATGGTTGTCAAGATATCTTCGTTCAAAGTTTTAAAAGAATTTGGTATTTTAATAGGCGTTTTAATTTTTCTAACTTTTGGCAGCTTTATACTTATCTATTTTAACCCCAATTCCTAAATGATAACAATAACCAACTTGTTACATTCCATTAGGATTATTCATTTTTGCAGATTTTTTATAATGGATGAATGCCTTATTCTCGTCCTTTTCAACTCCAATCCCATATTCGTAACAATAACCAAGATATAATATACTATCTGAATCAACTTCGGTTGATTAAATTATTGTTTATTTGAGTAATTCATTTGATGAGTTATTAGTTTTTGTATTTGACATTTTAAGCTCAAGAAATTATATGCTTCATAATTCTTCATAATGTATACATACTGGTTTCATCATTTCCGCTACCAAGCAAATTATACAGTTGTTTGAGCATAAATTAACGGTAATTATGTGAAAGAATCAAAGTTGAATGTAATACGCTTGACGAATAATTGCCCTAAAATCTATTTAAACACTGTTTCACAATGTCACATCGTATACAAGGGTTTATTAAGCGATTTGTTGGCTAACAAAGTTGCCCTTATTATAATATTTAATTGTCCTGGACGTTAACATTTTAGCAGACATGTCCGGGACGTCCCGTCCTGGGCTGTTCGTAATCTGTGTCCCTGTCCCAGCACAACACTGCTGCTTCATATTGTACGTACGATTTTATGTGGCGTACCCAATCAAAACTCAAGCGTAACAAAAAATTGTGTAAATTAAAGCCGATAAAACTATATTATAGTTCAGTGTTGTCACTTGTAGAGATGGGCTCTTCAAAAATCCCGTGCAGGATAGGATCACAAATATGCGGGTTTTTTAATTTTTTGTAACCATGCAGAAATTATTAATGAAAATCAATTTTCTTGTTCTACGTACCGTAATTTTTCGAAATAGGGGCATGGGCGTTATTTCGAATTTCGACCGAATTAAGCTTAATTCGGGCCAAAATTCGACATGCCCGCTATTTTAATGCAGGCCAGATGATAAGGTAATGTCGACCATATGATTTTATCTGGGATCATATTGAAAATCTCGCGCGTGCCCATCTGGTCATGGCTATTGGTCGAGACTAGGGTTGGAGGCACGGAAGTTGGAGGCATGCCCTTGGGTGCATGCCCTTTAACCAAAAGGCATGCCCCTATCATGTGATCTATAGCTAACGTATGATTGGCTATTTCAGCAATTAACCAATTAGAATACAAATATCTTATTATAATACTTTTATTATCCGTATGACAGTCACTTCATAGATAGCACATTTTATCAACAATTATTCACTGACAAGTTTATTTTACCGATAGTCTAGTTAATGAAGCTCATTTCACCAACAAGTTTTTTTTATGAACCTAATGATATTGGCCAGAATTACTTTGTCTGTAAAATGAGCTTCAATGAAATAAACTATCGGTGAAATGGTAATTGTTAGTGAGTTGATCGGATCCCTTTTTAT